CTGCTATGTTGCCTAGGCTGGTCTTGAACTCTGGAGCTCAGGCAATCCACCTGCCTCAGCCTCCGAAAGGATTATCAGGCGTGAGCCAGGGTACCTGGCCAAATTTCAAACTTTTGAATTCACATATTCATTTATTCTCTTTATCATTCAGGGAGAAATTTTGGGATAGGTAGCCTTGAAGCATCATTCACCGTTATTTTAACCACCAGCTTTAGATACAAAGTATTTTACATTTTTTTTTTTTAAATCAAATTCTGGATTTTGGTCTGAAGATTCTAAAAAGAATTTTGGAGTCTTTAATTCATTATTTGTGGGCAGGGGAATAAGTACCAATAATTGTATAACTTGCAGTGGAAGTCACGTTAGCTAACTTTAAGTCTATTAATTATCCTTGATTTATTCATTAAACTGAGTCACCATAACAGCACTTTCATAAAACAGTCGCTAACCAATTTCACTACTGCCCAAGGGCTTTATTGTGTGTATGAGGGCATCTTTTATAAGTATGGGTGTAATGTTACAGGTTTTTCTTTGTGTAAGTTTGGATTCACAATTTAATAATTACAACAAATGTAAAATACTTTGTGATTTTTGTGTGCTATTAAGAAGGTATTCAAGGGAATTTTGAAAATCAAATTTAATTGCTATCAAGTTTGTAAAATTTTTGAAACAAATGTTTAAGAGAGGATACTGTTAGAAATTCTCTTTCCAGCCAGACCTGGTGGCTCACACCAATAATCCTAGCATTTTGGGAGGACAAGGTGGGTAGATTGCTTAAGCCCAGGAGTTTAAGACCAGTCTGGAGAACAGAGGGAAGGCTCATCTCTACAAAATATACAAAATTAGTTAGGTGTGGTTGTGTGCACCTGTAGTCCAAGCTACTTGGGAGGCTGAGGTGGGAGGATCACTTGAGTCTGGGAAGTGGAGGCTACCATGAGCCATCATGGTGCTACTGCACTTCAGCCTGGGCCAAAAAAAATAGGAACCAGAAAAGAAAAAGAAGGCTGGGCTTGGTGGCTCACACTCATAATCCCAGCACTTTGGGAGGCTAAGTCAGTGAATCACTTGAGATCGGGAGTTCAAGACTAGCCTGGTCAATGTGAAACCTCATCTCTACTAAAAATACAAAAATTAGCTGGGTGTAGCGGTAGGTGCCTGTAGTCCCAGCTACTCAGGAGGCTGAGGCAGGAGAATTGCTTGAACCAGGGAGGTGGAGGTTGCAGTGAGCCAAGATTACAACACTGCACTCCAGCCTGGGTAACAAGAGTGAAACTCCAACTCAAAAGAAAGAAAGAAAAGAAAAGGAACTTCCTGTCCAAATAAGTTTATTTTTAATAAGTAAAAGTGTATTAACAGTGTTTATGGGAGAGTGTCCACACAAGTACAGCAAGCCTACAAAGTACAGGTTAAGAGACCTTTTAGTAAAATAATTTAAACTGAGAAGAAAAAGCAGAGATTTTTTTCCTAGAAGAGTAAGGAGTGGAGGTAAGGAAAACCAGCAGAGACATAGGTTATGCTATAGAAACAAAGTTGTGCCAATGGCATTGATAATTTAATACAGAAAAAAATAAATCAGAAAATGGGTATGTATAAATAGGTTAGGTTTCTGAACAAGAGAAGCAGTGAAGCGTTAGATGGGAGTGAGATAAATCAGCCACTGGCTAGAGGAGTGGTTTGCCCAAGACCAGGGATGATGTCCCCAGGTGTCTGGAAATAACTGTTGTGATGTTGTAAAGCCCCCGTAGTCTAAGTTGGGTGAGTCTATACTTATTTTCTCACCTGTAATATAGCTAAAAAGTATTTCTACTCTGGGATTTCCTTACGTTTTACTAAAGCGCAATTATGTACTTAAAATTGATGGTGTATGCTGAACTGCTGGTCATTCTCAACTCTGGCCAAGTATCAGAATTATTTATTGAATATACAGGTGCCATATATAGGTGTGTACACACACACACACACACACACACACCATATTCCATTCCTCAACTGGGATATTCTGACAGAGTTAGTGGAGGGTATTTCTGGCCAATTTATATTTTCATAAGACCTCTGTTTTTTGTTTTTTTTTTTTTTTTTTTAAGTATAGATGAAATATTGCTATGTTGAGCAAAATGGTATGGAAATTCTGAGTTCTCCCAACTCACCCTCCAAAGTGCTGGGATTACAGGCGTGAACCACTGCATCAGGGCAAGACCTCTGATTAATATCCTAGGTTTATTTGTTCGAAAGTTTCACATATCCTCTTAACCACAAGTTGTTGGCAGAGTTTTAATCTGAAGGGCTTGGGTCTCATGTTGAATGAATGAGGTTCACCTGATGGGTGAGAGGAAGGTGAAATGGAAAGTGAACAGGAAGCCATGCAGATTCGGCAGGTGAGCCTCCCCTCTCCCAAACCATAAGATTGAGTATGCCTGAATTCTTCCCAGAGTGGAGGAATCCATTTTAGGGGTGTGTGTGTCTGTGTGTGTAGATCCTTTAAATATTTCTGTTCTGACATTCATTGTTTTTGAGTCGCTGTCATTGAGAAAAGTTTAGAAAGGAGATATTAGGAGTAGAAAATAGAAAGTAAATAAAATAATCAAAATAAAAATGTGGTTTTATACATAATAGGCAAAATAAAGGAAAGGCATCCTAGACCTCTGGTTTAAATGAAGATGGCACTTGGTGAGGTGTGTTGCAGGGGAGTTCACATGATGTATGTTTTCAGAGAATTACCTTATTACATATGCTGCTATATTTTTAATTTTCATGAATTAAAAGGCGTGTTGAAATTTCAGAGTTTTACTTAGGATCTCGGACTCTGCACTTTTTCTCTGTAATGTTTGACATTTCTTCCTAGCTAAGCCTCCACTTATAAGGTATGTGTTGCCACATGTGGATAGTGACGTTTAAAAATACCTAAGAACTCAATTTGGGGCAGAAGAATGTAATCAATTATGTCAGAAGTGATACAAACCATGTGACATTTAGAGCATTCTGGCCTTTTCTGAGTCTTTTTTCTCCATTCCTGGATTTCTTATCTTCATGTGAGCAAGTCTGAGGTTACTATATGTTGCTTCTCATAGGCCACAGTCTTATTCTAAATATTCATGATATTTATTTATTAAACAGAGCGTGGTGGGTGGGGGGTAAGTTTTTATTTTTTAAACAAAAGTGATTCTTATGGGCGTTTTCAAAAGCTGCAGCAGGAAGCTAAGAAGAAAATTTTGAATTGAGAGATCTCTTCAAATTACATTCAGACCCAATTCTGCTTTTCTATTTATGTTTATTTTTAAAGGAGATTAGCCTTATTTTAACACCAATAATCTTATCACAAAACCTCCCAGAGGAAGACCCTGTAGACTTTGTAATGACCTTAATCAAGTATTAGCCCTACACTTCAATTAATCCCCTACTATACAAAACCTATGTTCTTTTCTTTGAAGCCGGAGCAAGTTGAAAGGGGATTAATAATGGAGGGAAGCGAAGAGTGGAATTGCAGGTATAGCAGACAGGCACAGCAGGCCAGGAAGAGTGTCCAGAGAAAACACTATCCAGACTTGTTTATGTTCCCTGCCTCTCACAGACTTGCTGAAAAATGAACCATTCAATAATTATTTGAATCTAGAATTTGCACTTATGAGGTTTTAATTTGCAGTTATTTTGGCTACATTTTGGCCTCCTAAACCTCGGGTCTTTAGGAGAGAAACTTCAAAACGAAACTTATACTTTGTTCAGCACAGAGAAGGCCATCAAAATGCCGCCGTTTAAATAAAAACATTAAAATGATTGAGAGGCAAAGTCCCTTGACCTATAAATCTGACCTCCTTTAAACATTATTTGTACTTTCTCCAATAAACTATTCCCTAATTTATTAGTTACTATGTGGAAATAAAAATAGACGTGGAATGGAGCTGTGTTTAGCATCATTAGGCTGACAGGAATACAGTGCATTCAACTTGGAGACACCCTTCCCCTCCCACGAAGAGCAAGGTCTCACTGGCCAATCAAAGCAGTGAACTCGTAATGAAACAGTTTTCTTGCTCCACCCACTCTGTAACTTAATTTGAAAAAAATCCGCGCCAACTCATGTTGTTTTCAATCAGGTCCGCCAACTTCGTATTTAAGGGACTGGGTCAGTTCAGGTTTCCCATTGCGATAGGAATCATGTCTGGTCGCGGCAAAGGTGGTAAAGGTTTGGGGAAGGGTGGCGCTAAGCGCCATCGTAAGGTCCTCCGAGACAACATCCAGGGCATTACAAAGCCGGCTATTCGCCGTTTGGCGCGGCGCGGTGGCGTCAAGCGCATTTCTGGTCTCATCTATGAGGAGACTCGAGGTGTGCTTAAGGTTTTCTTGGAAAACGTAATTCGAGATGCTGTCACTTACACGGAGCACGCGAAACGCAAGACTGTCACTGCCATGGATGTTGTATATGCCCTAAAACGTCAGGGGCGTACTCTGTATGGTTTTGGCGGCTGAAACTGTCTCCCGGAAACTTTAAACAAAAAAGGCCCTTTTCAGGGCCACCCACAAAGTCACTTAAAAGAGCTGAAATAACGTTGCAAAAATGTGTTAAGTTTGGGTAGCAAGAGTTCACTGCACCATCCTGCATGAGACTGCTGAGGGGCATGTTAGGTTTTATTTGGTATTGTATCTGTTTACCTGACTGCACATTTTGACAAGTACTTTTTAAGCAGAAAGTAGATCTAGACAGGTAACCTCTTAAGAGTAATTGGCTCCACTAAAGAATTTTTCTGTGTGCTATGTCTCACGCCTATAGTCTAGCACTTAGAGACGCCAATTCGGGTGGATCACTTGGTCAGGAATTAGACTAGCCTGGCCAACTTCGTGAAACCCCATCTCTACCAAAAACAAAAATAAACTGGGTGTGGTGGCCTGGGTCTGTAATCCCAGCTATTCGGGAGGCTGAGGCAGAATCGCTTGAACCCAGAAGGAAGAGGTTGCAATGAGCTGAGATCGCAGCCACTATGCTCCAGCCTGGGTGATAGAGACTCCCTCTCAAAAATCATGTATTTGAAAGCATTCTAAGAATGATACTTTGGACTTAACCCCGTGGCTGGAGGCCTGTGTTGAACAAAGGTTAACACTCTTTGGCTCATGCACCACACAGCTATGTAAATAAAGCATCTTTAGGGACAAGCTCTCATTTGCAGGAGGATTGGGTTCTATGGCCATTGTCCTGTTGGCCAAAACCAGAACTGGAGGAAGAATCATAGCTGGTTAACTGTTTTTAACCTTATGTATGCCAGGCACTGGAAGGCCAGAGGAGCAAAGGTACAGGAAGTCATCCAGAGGGATTCCCATATTGTTGAGAGAATGACCAACTGCAGGGAGAGGCTAGTCGTTCTTTCTCACTGTCTGTGATGAGAATCTAGGGACACTCCACTGCTGGGCACAGCATTTAGACAAAAGAGCTCTCTGCTATGTCAGGCAAGTGAGCTAAGATACTTTAGCTCAGACCCCAGAGATTAGAACAATTTTGTGGTTTAGGAAGGTTGAATTCAGATCCTAACTGAGCAGCCTCCAACATTTCCATGAAGCTTTGGATTCTTAAAATTTTTCGGACTGCACAATGCTCTGGCAGTCTGATGAAACCTACAGACTCTTCATAAAGAAAATACTTAATTCATAGGGTTACAATTGTTTCACCAATAATATTAAAATAACGATCAAACCACTTGACAGTAATGTGTTTTTGTTGATATATATCAGTACTTCTGAATCCATATTCTGGGAGAACTTGATTCCTATTTATTGATCCCTTAAAGTCGGTGGACACCATATTAAGAACCAATAGTTACAATGACACCACAGGAAAAGGCTAGAATGTAGTACTTGTGTGAAAAAAAAAAAAAATCAGCATATCATTGTTTGGATACCAAATTGCTCTCCACTCCCTTCCTCAGCAAACAATGGCATTTTCAGAACTTAGATGCTCTTATATGTAAAAGCCTACTCTAGTGCACCATCAAGCGTCTCAGGATTGGACATCAAACTATTCAATTCCTGGACCTTTAGGTATACACGACGTCTGTGACAAGAAGCCCTTTTTCTTTAGCTTTTTAAGTTTTGGACAAGTTCTCATTTGCTGTCACCCAGGCTGGAGTTAAGTAGCACAATCATGGCTCACTGTATCCTCAAATTCCTAGGCTCAAGAGATTTTCCCTTCTCAGCCTCCGGAGTTGCAGGGTCTAAAGGAGCGCGCCAACCATGCTCAGCTAATTTACTTTTTTGTAAAACCAGCAGTCTCCAACCTTTTTGGCATCAGGAACTGGTTTCGTCTAGGACAATTATACCATAGACCAGAAAGTGCGGGGGCTGGGGGCGGTGATTTCCGGACTAAAACTGTTCCACCTCAGACCAGGCATTAGATTGTCACAAGGAACCTGCGACCTGGATCCCTTGCATGTGCCATTCAGAATAGTTTGCTCTTATGAGAATCTAATGCTGCTGCTAACCTGACAGGTGGCGGGGCTCAGGGTAATGCTCGTTCACTCCTTACCTCCTGCTGTGTGGCCCAGTTCGTCACAAGCCATGGACAGGGACCGGTACTGGTCCATGGCTGGGGGCATGGGGACCCCTGGTATAGATGGTCTGTGTTGCCCAGGCTGGTCTCGAAGCCTGGCCTGAAATAATTCTCCCACCTCAAGACTTTTCATCCCAGCCTATCACAACTTAAAACCTATAGTTTACTGTCAGAAACTTAAGTGTTACGCCATCTTAAAATAATGTGGGTGGCTCTGAAAAGAGCCTTTGGGTTCTTTCTCAATCGGCTTCCTGAAAAGCTCTTTACTTCTTAGATGTGGCCTTTCTAACATTAGTTTTATGTTGTGGGGTCAACTTTGGCTTTCCAGCCCTTGCCTTTACCGGGCTCTTCGGCTGTTGCTTACCCTTGGCTCCTTTAGGCTTTCTCCCGTTTCTAACAGCCTTTTTAGGAGCTGTCGCCCTCGGCTTCTTGGCTCTCTTACTGGTTTTAGCAGTCTCTGGCGACTTGGAGTCCCTGGATATAACCAGCCTCTTGGTCTTGGCAGAAGCAGACTTTTTGGCCTTAGTCCTGGTAGATTTAGGAGCGACCTTCTTACTGAGCTTAAAGGAACCGGAGGCACCAGTACCCCTGGTTTGCACCAAGATTCCCTTGTTCACTAAGCTTTTGAGGGACAGTTTAATGCGGCTGTTATTCTTCTCCACGTCGTAGCCAGCGGCGGCCAGTGACTTCTTGAGCGCAGCCAGTGACATACCTACTCTTTCCTGTGACATTGAAAGGGCCTCGGTGATCAACTTGGACACAGAGAGGTTGGTCGCTTTGCGACTTGCAACCGTCAAGGCAGCAGACTTCTTCCCTCGCTTCTTGGCTGGAGGCCTCTCCATAGCTGCTGGAACAGAACCGGCAGGAGCTGCAGGTACAGTTTCAGACATAACAGCAGAGAAAGACACTAAGTAGTAACCAGTGAAGAGCGTCAAACGCTAGGGGGCCTCTGGGCCTTATATAGGGCAGGGCAGGCTGTGATTGGTGCATCACCTAGGCACCGCCCCCGCCCCTCGGAGGAGGAGTATTTGTGTTTGTTTTACCCAGAGAAGTTGACTATAACAAACCCCCTCTGTACAGGATCTCCCAGAGTTTCATGCTAAATGATCTGGGGAAATTCATATTTCACATGACTTTTTGCTTTTTAATGAAAAATGACCCTGGTTGCCAAAACTATTTGAGAAAGCCCTCGATTTTCAGTCAAATTTAAGGAGAAGAACAAAACTTCTCCCTTTCCTTGTAAATTGATAAGTAATTTTTGGCAGAAAACTTATTTCATTTCTTCAGAGTGATTTTCCAAATGGATAGCTTCAAATCGATAGAGGAAATAAATTATTCACGCCATGATTTTTATTTAAAATTATTTATATTTGTGAAGAAAGTAACACAAACCTCTTAGCTAACTGCGGACTCAGAAGATGCTTATAGAATTGTCAAAGACTGCAGAGGATATCTTTATTTAGGCAAGTGCAATCCAATAAACCATAATCCTCAGGAACATGGGTTGTCTGTGATTAAAGATGCTCCCAAGTCCCTGCAGCTTTAGAGGAGACTCTCAAGGATGGGGTTATATCAAGATCTCACATATTATGTCAGATTGGCCAAAATCCGGCCATTCTTATGGCTGGTGTCCTCAACTGAGGTTTGCTTCTGGTTTCACTAATTCAACTCCCCTCCACTTCCCTGCCATTTCCTACCTCCCCAGATAAACAGACACAGTCCCTCCACAAAATTAGGTATAATACGTTAACTATAAAAAATTAGCTGGCTGTGGTGGCACTTACCTGTGGTCCCACCTACCTCAAAATGTGAGGTAGAAGGGCGGGTGAGGTGGCTCTCACCTGTAATCCCAGCACTTTGTGAGGCCGAGATGAGCGGATCACGAGGTCAAGAGATTCAGCCCATCCTGACCAACACGGTGAAACCCTGTCTCTACTAAAAATACAAATATCAGCTGGGTGTGGTGATACGCGCCTGTAGTCCCAGCTACTCTGGAGGCTAAGGCAGGAGAATCACTTGAACCCAGGAGGTGGAGGTTGCAGTGAGCAGATATCAGGCCACTGCACTCCAGCCTGGCAACAGAGCAAGACTGTCTCAAAACAAACAAACAAAACCAAAAAAACATGATGTAGAAACCCTAGACTCAAGAACCGACTGGAAACTACAGACCTCATGTCTAACAGGACTGGGCTGGTTTATTCAGCAGTGGTTCCTGCCTGTAATCCCAGCACTTTAAAAAGCTGAGGTGGGAGGACTGCTGGAGGCTAGGAGTTCAAGACTAGGCTGGCCTAGTCTCAAAAAAAAAATAAATAAATAAAAATTAGCTGGGTATAGTGTGGTGCCATATACCTACAGTCCCAGCTACTGGGTAGACTGAAGAGGATCACTTAGAGCCTACAAGTTTGAGGTTGCAGCTATTGCATTCCAGCCTGGGCAACAAGTGAGACCCTGTCTATGAATTATTTACTTAATTACTTAACTCAGCTGGCAGATTTGGCTGCAGAGCTGTGGGACAATGGTTATTGGAATAATGTCAAGTATGCTCCCCTGAGCTTCTACTGGAACTGGTGTTTGTGAGAGGTCTGGAGGTAAGAGCTTGCTCTCAAAGGCCAAGGCCTTTCTGTGATGTTGATGGAGTTTACTGTGCTCATAGCACAGGGTCTCAACAAAGGAAAACTCTGTAAGGGCCATTTTGTGAAGATCCACAAATACTAGTGTGATTTTGGTAGACATTGCAAATTTTTTTTGTTGTTTTTTGAGATGGAGTTTTATTGTCCAGGCTGGAGTGCAATGGTGCGATCTTGGCTCAGTGCAACCTCTGCCTCCCAGATTCAGGTGATTTCCTGCCTCAGCCTCCCGAGTAGCTGGGATTATAGGTGCCTACCACCACACCCGGCTAATTTTTTTTGTATTTTTAGTAGAGATGGGATTTCGCCATGTTGGCCAGGCTGGTCTCAAACTCCCCACCTCAGGTGATCCACCCACCCCTCCTCAAAAGTGCTGAGATTACAGGTGAGAGCCCCTATGCCCGGCCACCATTGGAAATGTTTAAGCAAATAATTTGTTGTATTGTTGTAGTTGTCTTGGGTTTAGATTTATTGCAGAAACAATCATTATTGAGAAGGGCCCACAGTCAGAGGTTGCTAACAATAGTTTCAGAAGAATGGCAAAGACCTTGCTTAAAGAGACAGTTATGTTAAAGGAGAGAGTCTACATTCGAAATATTTCTGAAGCAAAAGGCAAAAGATAAGACTGCAAACTTCTAATTGCAAAGTGACAGAAAAATCTCTCTTTCTGTTATACCCATACACACGCACATATACACAAACACCTGAAACAAAAAATTCAAAGAACAGACCAGGTAAGGTGGCTCAAGCCTGTAACCTCAGCAATTTGGAAGGTTGAGGCCAGTGAATCACTACAGCCCTGGAGTTCAAGGCCAGCCTATATAACATAGCAAAACCTGGTCTCTATAAAAAAATTAAAAAATTAGCTGGGTATGGTGCCATGTACCTGTGTTCCCACCTACTCAAAAGACTGAGGTGGGAGAATCACTTGGGTGCAGGAGGTTAAGGCCACAGTGAACCATGATTGTGCCACTGCACTTCAGCCTGGGCAACACAGTGAGACCCTGTCTCAAAAAAAAAACAAAAAAATAGAATGTCAAAAGACTGCAGAGGAAGTCTTTATTTAGACAAATGCCAAAATAAAAATATATATATTTTTTATTTCACTTATTTTCAGAAAACGGTACTATTCTGAGCGCCAGCACTTCAACACATTCTATTGTAAACTAGTTCATTTCTAAAGAATACTGCGTTGGAAGTCACGAGTTTGATTTCACAACTCACTGAAGTACCGTGTCACTCAGTTTGGAAAGTATTTTTCTTTAGAGAGATTACAGGTGCATCTTTCTGAGCACCTGTACATTTTTACATCTGTTTGGCTTCTCTGACCTGTGATAATTTCTGAGTGTTTGTCCCATTAAATGTTAGTGACTAGGGGTCAGGTTGATCCTAACATTTACAAGTTGACATATTCCATTGCTTTAAAACCAACACAGGATTAGAGAATTTAGAAAATTGTTAGATTCCATAATTTAAGACCCAGAAAAATAAATGATGCATATTTTGAATTAGATAGCTAAAAAGTTTCCATAAAAACAAATAATTATTTCTTATTGGGTCATGGCTAATTTAAAAAATGGGAAAAGTGTCCCTCACTAGTAAAGTCATTAAAATAAGGAAATGAAATTTCAAATTTTTTTGGGGGTCCCATTTGGTTAACAATACTTTTAAAAATTTATTGTAAACATGAGTGCTATAAAAAAAACAGGAATTTCCATATTATGTTGGGAATATAAATTGGCATGATCCTGAATGGCAATTGGCAATGTATATGTTAAGGACCTTAGAAAATTTTTTTCACTTTTGATTTAGTATTTACACTTCATGAAGTCTATCCTTAGGAAATAATATTTGAACAAAGATTTATGCACAAAGATGTGTAATCTATAAAGCTGTATAATTCATAATGCATAGAAATGTGAATTAATTGAAATAGTATTGAAGAACTAATACATAAGTATCAATATACCCATAAATTATATATCCATAAAAATTGTTTATAAGCATATTTATTATCTAAATATATATACAGCATGACACCTAAAATTTATTTTACATATATGATACATGATATATGAATGTGAATATATATGATATACATAGAGAAAGAAGAGGAGACACTAGGAGTTATTTTAATTTTGTCTTTATGCTTCTCGTTTCATAAATTTATATGAAGAACAGTTTAATAGTTTTATAACCAGAAAAAAGCTAATTTTTCTTAGCCAGGTCCAAGCTAATTTTTCTTATTGGTTCTTCCCTGATTGTTCAAAATACCTCTGTTTACATTCTTCTAGGATCACTCGTTTTCACTGGTTTATTTGCAAGATGAAACAGTTTCCAGCAGTGATGAGTGTTGGAAAGGATATTTCTAAAGGCTGTTGTCTCCTTCTAGAGAAAAGAGAGAGAGTGATTGATTCACTTCTGTTATTTATCAGATACGAAATATTGTATTTGACTCTGAGAACAATCATGATGATGGCTAAAGTTCATTGGGTGTTTGCTCTGTTCCAGGTAGTATTTTGAGAACTTTGCATAATAGATACCAATGCATTTAGTTGTTACAACAACCTTGAGTTATCTACTGTCATTCTCCCTGTGTTATAGATGAGGAAATTAAGGCACAGAGGGGTTGAGTTTCCGAGGTAGCGCAGGAGGGCAGAAAACCAGAAAACACAGGGTATGTACATATCTGGGCAGGGGCAGAGCCTATCAGGCCATGATTCAGGTGTTTAGAGTATCCTAAAGGTAAGATTCATCTCTTTCAGGCCTATCCTAGACCACTCACGATGCCACAGCTAACATGCCAGCAGGATGGAGGCTCCTTCCTCTCATTTCCAGCTGATTAAAATTCCCAATCCACTCAAGCCTTCTTTATGGGCCAAGGTCAGTCTCCGATTTTTAGAGCCTAAAACTCTGAGCACTCTAAGCCCTCCAAAATGCCCTTACTTTGCTGCCTGCTGAGCATCTTTGAACCACTCTTGAGGCTAGCAGTTTTCCTTCCATTCAAGATCTCAGAATCTGTATTGTTTCTTACCGTTCCTGTAGAATTCTTTTTTTTCCTTTTTTTTGGTCCCCACCCCCATGTTTCTGTAGAATTCTTAAATATGCAATTTTATATTTTAATTTCCAAAAATGTTTATTTCAGTGCACTGAAGCCCAAATATGTGTGTTTTAAAATCTAGTGTCCAAGGTTCATTACCCCAATTGTTTAAGCAAGTCCAATAACAAAAGGGGCACATTTTAATTTTCAATATTTTTTGGTTCTATCCTATAGCTGAGCTTGTGCCAATAATAGTAGAGAAAAAAGTGAAAAGAAAACTAAGGATAAGAAAATAAAGGAAGGGACAACAAGGGGAGAGGAGGTAGAAAACTGAGAATAAAAGTTTATCCATATTTCTCTTGGATCAAATTCTTTTACCATTTGAAAATTTGAGATGGTCAGAGAATAAACCTAGAATTTTAAGTGATGAGGACAAGATTTTACCACAGGGTAGCCTCCTCTACCTAGGTCTATTTCCTCAAAGAATGAGACAAGCCCCATCATTTCTGCTCTTTTACCCTTCTGAGCCAGAAGCAAAGAGATCTCATATCAAGGCATGAGCAACTGTAGAAATATGAGACTAGATGTCTCTGTTAATTATTGTATAAATTTCATATTGGAGGATAAGCATACATGAATCTTTAAATCAGCAAATCAAAGTCCCATTATTATTACATATGTTCTGTTTCTCAGAACTGAGGTGGGGCTGAGTACAGTGACTCAGGCTAGTAACCCTAACAGTTTGGGAGGCTGAGGCAGGAGGATCACTTAAGCCCAGGACTTTGAGATCAACCTGGGCAACATGACAAGACCCCATCTCTACAAAAAAACTTTTTAGAAAAATTATCTGGGCATGGTGGTGTGCACCTGTTGTGGTTCCAGACACTCAGGAGTCTGAGGCAGGAAAATAGCTTTAGCCCAGAAGGTTGAGGTTGAAGCAAGATGCAACTGTGCCACTACACTTTGGCCTGGCAGCCTGGGTGAGACCCTATCTCTGAAAAAAAAAAAAGAAAAAAACTGAGGCCGGGGAGTAGTAAGAAACTAGCTCATTCTCCAGATTTACTCCCTTTTTCTTAATTATAATGAACTCATGATACTTGAGGATATGTCAAACTGATCTTCAGACAACAAAAAACTTGCTCAGGGTCTAAAATACTTTTCATAAAAGGTTACAGACAGTGGTATACTCTACTTAATTTTATGCTTGGTCATCCGGGATTACACAGGCTAAAGGTAGG